TATTGCAGTGTGGGTGAAAATCTGAGAATAAGTAAAGGAAGACTGCTCCCTCAGACACGTTTACAATATATGTGGCAATATAGGTAAAATGTAAAATGTACATTTACATAATCAGTTAGTATGTTGTAGAAGATGACCAGTGTGTTTTGAACCATAAGCAGCAACAGTTTTGATCTAGAAATGTTACATGTTCTGCATTATGATGGTAAAGGCCTGGGCCCCATTCTACAAGTGATCATAGTAATCTGACTATTGTCTGTCTATGTTAAAGTACGGGAGTTACGATCACCCTGGCACTACGACTGCTTTATGGTATGGCGACCTGGGATTTCTTTTGAATGATTTGTTAAAGATACCTTGGGAACAAATAATCTATGTTAGATGTGACCCAAGTGAAATTGTTCACTGGATGCCCCAAGGAAATTGTGTCGTGGGTTCCCCATACTCCACACTCTCACCCTCCACCTCCGTCACCTCACACGCACGACCCACGCTCCCAACCTCAGTCTCCCTCACACTCAACCCTGCACATCACATCCTTTCCCCCTCATCGTCCCCCCTCACCCTCCATCTCTCTCACCTTCCACCCCTCACACCTCAACCCATCCCCCTCACATTTTAACCCCTCAGACCTGTCCTTACCCCACAGCTTTCATCTCTCTCACCTTCCACCCCTCACACCCAAACCCATTCCTTTCACCAATCCACACACACCTCCCGTCCTGACCCCCACCCACTATCTCCCTCACCCTCCATCCCTCACACCCAAACCCATTCCTTTCACCAATCCACACACATCTCGTCCTGACCCTCACCCACTATCTCCCTCACTATCCGCCCCTCACACCCAAACCCATTCCTTCCACCAATCCACACACATCTCGTCCTGACCCCCACCCACTATCTCCCTCACACTCCACCCCTCACATCCACCCTATTACTACCCAGCCTCACTATGGCTCACATCCACCCGACATACCCTCTCTCAACCTCCTCACCCTCCACCTCCCCCCACCCATCTGCAACAATATAAGATTAGGTTCAATACATTTTATTACAAAACAGCATAACGTGATCAATACCATAAAATCTGATGATCATGTGCATTTTATACTTTTCACCACAATTTATAGTTTGGGTCTATTTTGTACATTACAGTCGTAAACTTTGAACTGATTAGGTGAAGCTATTAAACTAACACAAACACAGACTGTTATATAAGCTTACAGTTTAGTGAGAAGACTTAAACTGAGACAGCAATCACTACACCACCTCTACAATAATTGTGTTACTTTAAACTCACCTTTCCAGGCGTAAAGATTAAAGACGGTACATTTTCCTTACATCAGATTACTCCACAGCAAGTTACATACACTGTTCAGTAGTTGCTGACAGTTTTCGATTTGTCCCGAAATCATGTAACACGGAATAACAGTTAGGTCTCTAGGTCTATAATTGCAATTGATATTTCCTGAAATAAGTTGGTTTCCAAATAAAAAATCTCCCGAGTTCACCTCATGGTTTAATGTTTCCTCAATGATTGCAATTGATGTTTGGTGAAATTTGATGTTTATCAAGTCAGGTCAATTTGTATTCAAGATCAAATTCTCAATTTTGTCCGCTTATGTAACGTTACACAGAATTCAAAATAGGTTTACCTGAGATTGCAATTAATGCAGAGTTTGAATTTACCAATGTTCAGTGGTGTGTTGAGTTAATGCAGAATAGATGTGATGTTTAATGAGGTGTTTTGCCGGAGCTTACCTGTACGTACAGTAGTAGTGAAAGCAGAGATTAGGATGACAATTGCAATTAATGGCTGTTGGGTCCCACCTAGGGGAACGTCAGGTCAAGGCAATTGTTCCAGTGGCAGGTGAAAAAGTTGACATTTCCTTAGAAAGTGTGAGAAAATGCTAGAAACTTCTCCAGTTCATTAATAGGTTGAATTGAAATTGAACAAAATGAGGTGTTTTATTTTTTAATCTTTGCAAAGGAGGTAAGATGATCTTATTTTTTACTTGAAATAATGTAAATCTTCTAACAATGTCAATTAGAATGAGTTGAAAAAAAAAATAATGGATTAAGTTTCTGTGGTGAATTTTTAAAAGGATTTCTTTGATTTAATGCAAGAAAGAGGAGAGTATGTTTGGTTTGGTCAGAACAGGCTATATACCTCAATGCTGGAGCCTGAATTCATTAAAGGTTGATTTTGGGTTAATTGAAAAAAGAGACTTTTGATATATAAATGGAAAAAATATAACCAAAAGCATTGATTAAAGGACATTCATCTTCAAATACAGTATTTTTCCTTTTATATGCTCAGGCTTTTTTTTATTTTTATGAAATACAGATAATCAGTTATTCAGATTATTTCACACCTACATGAGTGAGTGAGTGAGTGTGTGTGTGAGTGATCATTTACAGAAACTCGTATCTAGACTTGCCACATATTCTGGACTTGCATGGGTTGTATTGGGTATATTTGTTTCAGGGTCTTTATGACAGACTAGGGCTGGGCTGAAGGGAAAATATTGTGGTTGTGAGACAGACTAGAGAGACAACTGAATGGAATTGCAGGGATGCAACAACTTGGTTGAAAGGCACGCAGTTTGAGAAAGTGACTGGATTATTTACCGGTCTGAAGTGCGACACAGTAAGAATTCCCCCGCCATGCTATAACCCTGGAGGACCTGCTGGGGCAGTGGGTGCTGACGGCTAATGATGATCCAGACTGACGTTTATATGGAACAGTCCTGGCCATATCAGCTTCGGTCATCTTGATTTGGGCAATGGTCACCATAGACAAGATTAGGGCCACCTCAGTGGGCTGCATACATCATCAGGTCCTTATAATTATTGTCAAGACATGCTTGACTTGGGCAGCCATTGATAGGGGTGATGAAGTGAAGCAATGATAATTGGATGGGTTTGGAAATGGAACTAGAACAGTTGCAAATATACTACTCCAAATAAGGCTGAAGGGATCATTGTCCAAGTCAAGGACAAGTCCATTCTGCATTTTGATGTTTCGTTTAGAACTGTCATACTCTTGTATTAGGTGCATTTGATTGCGTTATATAAAAATGAACACATACAATAACGGTTATTTCGGGATGCACAACACCATTCACAATCTGTTGAACGGGAACAACTACATACGGTTTCAATTTGCAGTGTGCGAAATTTACACTGAAGGGGTCATTGTCGGCACAGGTACTACAGATATGTACCCCAGGTACTTTTCTGTATACAGATATGTACCCTAAACAAAGACAAAATACAGAAACATACCCGGTACCCTAAAAGGCGGATGAGTCCATATTCCGCAATCCAAAAAACCGAAACCATATGTAGTTGTTCTCATTCAACTGATTCCGAGTGGTATTCATGTGCATCGCGAAATATCCGTTACTGTGTATTCTCATTACTTGCATAACACAATCAAATGTATCTAATACAACAGTATGACAGTTCCGGTAAAGAATACGACACAATGGGAATGGAATCGTCCTAGGGTACGTTTCTGTATTTTCATTATGGCCAAGGTACGTTTCTGTATACAGAAACGTACCTGGGGTACATATCTGTAGTACCCGTGCCGACAACGACCCCTTCAGCGAAATTTACACTGGTCCATTTTTGTCAAAGGAAACATCATGTGTTCTTTCACTTTTTCTAAGGATGTTTAGAACTGTCCTCAATTGGGTTGTAGCGATATATTTTAATTACAGTACATGTCTCGATGGTAAAATTCTTATGCGATACTTGAAACTCAACACATGCTGGAGACATATTCCTTCATCAGTGGGAAAGAACAACAGCTCAAACCAGTTTAATAGATTTGAGTTAATGTATGAGGAATTATTGCAATACAGTGTATGACGACAGGACATTTGTGATACCAGTTATTGGTTGGTGCCCTCCTAAAGAGTGATCCAAACTTTGGTTGAGTGTTGTACCTTGTTGGCTGGGATTATTACCCATAATATTATTCACTTGATTGGATGGACCAGGTTCAATATTTTACAGGCCACTGTCTTGTGGGACGAATACTCCTGAGTTGCGTTATTATGAGTTATATGTGTAGGATTTGGTACAAAAAGTCAGGGTTATTTTTGCATGTGGGGTTGCTTTAGGATTTCAAACTGAAAACAAACGCCATGTGTAAAAGTAATCGTGACTTTTCTGACCATATACAACCTAAAACAAAGTCCATTCAAAATATGTGGTAGACTATGTCCACCCAATATGCACATGCATAGGTACTGGAAGGTCCTTGTTGCTTCAGGTTGTACATTTTGCAGATTGTATTGACACATGAAACAGACTTGAAATATTGTGTTTTTAATAGTGAGTTTTGTTTTATGTCAATTTTAGCAATATTCCAGCAATATCACAACAGGGGACACCATCAATGGGGTAAACACATTGTACCCATTTTGGGAATCAAACCCGGGTCTTTGGCATGACGGGCGAACACTTTAACCACTTGGCTACCCCACTGCTCCATTAACTACAGAGAGTATTTGGGTGAAATATGTCAATGTGACACTATTGTATCTGCCTTGTGTTTGTCAATAGCCTCAGTATAATGTGAACAGAATCTGTTATAGATCTGAATCCAAAGCCATATGTTTCTGTCATGGTAAAGGGGTACATGGCCATAACCTGGCAGTCCATTGCTTTTTATCACAGTTTACCACTTTCTAGACTCTTGCCATTTATTATTTTGATATAAATTTCCAATGAAATGAAAGTTTTAGAAAAAAATATTGTTTTTCAAGTTATGAAAACTTTTATGTCAATGAGTTGTTAATTGTCTCAGCATGTAGACAAAGAATGCTTCACTTTAACGTACCTACGACTTGGAGGAAAATATGGAGTTTTTGTATTGTTGCTTCCATTGTTTATTTTGAAAGTCGTCCGTGGTTGTTCTCAGTTTTATATAGATTAATGATGTCTCATTTCCTGTACAGATAAAATATACTTGATTTGGACAGGGCTCTGACAGGACATTAGTACCTCCGTGAGTCCGAGGTGATGGTCACAATGTAACTCTGGCCATAACACCTGTCCAGGTAGATGTTTATACTGACGAATCACCCCTGACCAGGAGTTCACTGTTGATTAATGTGTATTAATGATGGAACTGGCACAAAGGTAAATCCTTGTTTTTGTGATTTTCTTCTGTGTATGTAGGTTATCTATAGCTGAAATGAGCAGGAAAAGACCATGGTATACCATGGTATACCATGGTAGACCATGGTTCACAGACCATGGTTGACCATGGTGTATCATGGCTTACCACATCCGGTAAATGGCACCACAGTTTACCATGGTCAAAAGAGACCATGGTCTACCATGGTGAAAAAAAGACCATGGTGTACCATGGTCAAAAGAGACCATGGTATACCATGGTCTACCATGGTAAAAAAAGACCATGGTCTATCATGGTTTAACCACGTCGCGGTAAATGGCACCACAGTTTACCATGGTAAGATAAGACCATGGTCTACCATGGTAAAAAGAGACCATGGTGTACCATGGTCAACCATGGTATACCATGGTCTACCATGGATTACCATGGTAAAAAGAGACCATGGTGTACCATGGTGTACTACTGAAAAAAACTGAGACCATGGTCAGTATACCCTGTTCGGTAGATGGCACAACAGTTTACCATTAGAATACCATTATTTAGACTATGGTAAGAAACCAACCGCGCCATACCACAATATATACATTGTAGTCACATACACCATGGCATAGAGATCAATTAGAATATTGGGTATTGAAGAATTAACATTAAACAAACTCATGCACTGAAAACAAACTGTTCAAATTATGAAGACACATTTTATTGCTGACACTGACAGATTTAAATGAAAGACAACTTGAGGACAGTTGTTGGGAAACTCACAGGGATTGAGGGATATGCTGTGCAACAAGTACAAGTCTAAAGCAAACTAGAATTACATATCCAGTAATGCTGCTAGGGACAAATGGCATGTGGACATGTTCATCATTTTTCAGAGGATATTCTTATCTATTATTTTATTCTAAAAACATCTTTAGGGCAGCTTGGATGTCAGTCTATATCCAGGAAAATTAACCAATTCAGAACACCATTTCATGCAGTAATATACAATTTCAGAAAGAGTAATCACTTTAGTCTATATGGTTTAGAAGTAGACATAATAAATGAGAGTCACAACCAACAGAGAAATTACAACAGGGCCCAAAATCATCTACCTGGAAGTTGTACAAGGGGCATCACAATTTCTCTCAGAAGAAACAGGATATACACAAGTCTGAAGAACCTTCGGAAAGAGCAGTGGTGACATCCCCCCGAAAATGTCCACGTTGGTTCAGGGATATTGAGTGAGTGAGTTTAGTTTTACACCACTTTTAGCAATGTTCCAGCAATATCACGCCGAGGGACACCTAAGGGGCTACACACATTGTACCCATGTGAGGAATCGAACCCAAGTCTTCAGTGTGAAGAGCAAACGCTCCGGCACAGGAATAAACTCATCTTGTAGAACTTTATCTTCAGTGTTTCAACATTAGGACCATTTCTTCAGAATCGTCCAGTGGAAATCTGAAAAACACACCAACATTTAATCACAATCATTCTATTTCAAACAGTCTTAAGCAAATATCAAAAAAGTGTTGTTGTTGATTTTTAAATATATATTTACAGTTGCTCAAAATGTTATGTATTTTTAACATATTGCAAATATTTTTCACCAGACTCTAATTATATTATTCAAAATAATTTCTTTACACTGATGGCAGATGACTTTAAATTATTTTTGTAATATGAAGAGTCTATGCCAAGTAACACAACATGTATTAGAAATTAAAACACAAAATTGGCTTCTAAATCACTAGTCTACATTCATGACCAAATATAATATTCTGAAATATTTACATTTCCCATTATTTATAATAATCAACATATCATAACATAGAAAAACGTATCTTACTGTAAGTGAAGCTATTTCCACGTTAAGTGAATAGCTAAACGTTTTGGCACTGTCATTTTTGGTTTACAGTCAGTAGTTATTCCAAAACTGAATACAAATACGATAGAAAAGAAAATGAAATATCCATAAACGTGCCTGTAGCAATTATCTCCCTTTTTTATGACCCTTTGAATTTATTTTGCTGTCTGTGTAATCTAAGCAAACAAACTGAATCTTTCAGGCTGACCTCTACAAGCCCCGTGAACTTTGACACCATTCGATCACTGATAACTTAACTAAAAAAAGTCATAACGGTTTGTTTTTTTTAAAAAGTACCGTTAGATATTGGTCGTGTGTTAACATAGATATGTAGAACATATTGCACAAAACCCAAATTAACACTGACTTTCCGTTTGAGGGAAGTACATTGTATATAAAATGAACACTGCTATATCTTATATCGTCTTTCCGTCATTCTCCTCAAAAACTGTTGCTTACCACGTCACATACGTTAAGTATGTGCGTATTCCCAACATCAAAACAATTTCAATACATCTGCACTCAAAATAATTTCAATATTGCTGTTTTTACTTACGCTCATGCTTATGTCCACTGGAATTCAACTTGAGATGTATCCATCGGCACTAAATCTAGTCTATTCCTTTATCATGAGTTCTTGACATATCCATCGCTGGATTATCCTCGAAATCCGTCATTGCTAATATATTAGGGATATTCTTAAGCTTGGATCGTTGTAGTCTATTGCCAGTGTTGACAAAGTTGTGTTTTGGCGCTATCACTGGTTTTGCGCTCACAAATGTCTACGTGACAAGTAGCAGCTATGGCATCGATTAGTCTTGGCGGGAAAGCGATCGGCGTGTCTCCGTATCGTACTATCTCCATTCGGCTTGTCCCGGAATGGCGCGAGTTGGAAGTTGAAACATATTTTTTAGAAAAGAAAAATTAATTAGTGCGACCAGGGATGTATCGTAACTATGTATGTAAAAGGCTGTATGATTAGTGCTATCCGTTTTTGAAGTTAATAATAAGATTACGTAAGCCGCGAAGAGGCGTGGCCGTGTTGCAATCACGCGATCGAGGTACTTCATAACAACACTCGTAGTCAACAGTGGATAATTTCTCATCTTATTAACAAATAAAGGCAAAATTACAATATCAAGGCATCAACATCAAAATTAGAATTCATAAACAATAATATTGTCAGCGGCGGGAATCGAAAAAAGATATTCAGTGTACCGTTTATTCGTCGATCATAGCGTGGAAGAATAGTTTTTGCACATATCCCGGCAATAATTTAAATTTCATTAATCTACTTTGATGTAATCTCTTCGGGTCATATTGCAAGTGCTGAACAGGAAGTGACAGTGAAATGTGTTCTAAAATCGGGAGCTTCACCATTAACATTGCGAAAGGCGTACTTATAACAAGTTTTAGGCACGTTTGCCGATCGTGATCACTCCACGGGAGAAATTCAATGAAATGAGACGATTTTGACATTGTACTTTCAAATTTTATTTCATGGAGTAAATATGAAAAGAAAGAGAATTAAAATCTTCCAGCACTAATTGGTTCGCGCTGTTATTGACAGAAGGTAAGTTTTACCGCAGAACTGTCTATGTTTCTAAAGCGGATCGTGTTAGGCACAGAATATTGTTTCGCCTTCTGTCGTGCATTGTTTATGTTGTTGCTGTATTTTTGGAAAAATCAAAAACTAAAGGCAACCAGGCACAAAAACTAGTAAGACCACGAGAGACGGGGTTTACACAGTTTAATGGACAACTTTAGCAAAGGGGACAGGCAAAATTATTTTATTTTCAAATGTACGGAGGGTTAATTTTGTTTTGATTTTCAAGTGTATAAGACGTCCTTTGTTCCTTATTTGTTTGTGTGTTTCTGTAGCAACAATGAGAAAAGTTAAATTACGTGAACTGTTCCGTTGATAATTGTTTTTATGACATTGTGTTCTTGTATTTTCATTAAAACACACTTCATTTTAACTTGTCTCTCACCGAGTGAAGTGTTAAATTTTAGTTTTCAATGCACACAGGCGTAAAACAAGGATCTGTAAGGTATCTGTCATGAATATTCATTAAAGGCAAACTAACTCAGGAAAAACATTTTTCATCTGAGATGTTTTACACACGTCCTTTGTAATGCTATTAGTATAATGCCTGTGTAACACTTCATTGAATGCTCCGCTATTTTGTTATTCATAAATGAAACACAATGTCATGAAACAGACAGGATTTCAATTTTAATTTTTTTATTTATTACAGTTTGAAATGTAAAATTGGTCTGTCATGACCATGGTCTACCATAGATTTGTCTGTGATGACCATGGTCAACCATTACTTTGTATGAGAACAACACCATGGTCTACCATAGTTTTGTTTAAGATGACCATGGTCTACCCTGGTTTCTGGTGACCATGGTCTAGAATGACCATGGTCACCATGGTATACCATGGGGAGAAATGTTGGTGACCATGGTCTACCATGGTTTCTGGTGACCATGGTCTATAATGACCATGGTCTGCTGTGGTCTACCATGGTGACCATGGTCTACCATGGTCTACCATGGGGAGAAAAGTTAGTGACCACGGTTTAGCATGGTAAACCATGGTAATACCATGGTTTACCGTGGTAAGCCATGGTTGACCATGGTCAACCATGGTGCCTTTTCAGCTGGGCAACAACCCAAGCTGCCTGTGAGGCATTAGAAGGTTAACAGTCACATGACCATCTCATCCCACCAGGTACCCACACACTGCTGGATGAACATTTTGAAAAGATATTGAATTTATATAAAACTATTGTCCTTTACTCACTCACATTTGGGTACAGCTATTACACCTTTCACTCACTCACTCATCCACCTGTGACAGGCGAAATGTACAAGCTCATCAATAACACTGACAGGATCAGTTTCAAGTGTGATGAACAACCTCACCCAGGCGTTGATAGCACTTAACATGTTATACACCAACCTGATATGGTCAGCAAGATAATATTAGATTGTACCACCACAAGAAAGTAAAAATGAGATGTTTATTTGAATTCATTTTTTTAAAAGAAGCATTGTATAAATTAAATATTGATTTAAATGAATCAATGAAGTTTAGTAGGGTTATATTCTGTATTTCGTGAATATAATCAAGTGAAGTAAGACATG